CTGAAAAGGGTACGGCATCTTTTCACATTGAATTTGGTCATCGCTTACTCGCACGCAAGCTCATTTGTTTAACTGCAGCTCTGGTTGTGTGCCAGTCTACGTCTGCCTTAAGCCACCAGCTGCTGCTAACTCCATCCACATGTTCTGGCAATCATATAGCTGTCATCGTTTACAATTTGTGGCCCCATAATAACCGTTGTTTTGAAATGAGATGCAGCACGGTGCAGTTAAATGCACTGTCAATTGCTCACAGGAGGCGGCGCCATTTAGCCTTTACACTTACAGCACCCACGCACTGAGTGAGAAGACATTTGATAACCTTTATTAAAGTAACTAAGTGCATTTACTCAAGTGCTGTACTTAAGTACCATTTTGAGAGACTTGTACTTTACTTGAGTATTTGCATTTTTTGCTATTTGTACTTTTACTCCGCTACAATTCAGAAACTAAATGGTGTACTTCTCCTCCACTACATGTATTTAATACCTTTAGTTACTTCACAGATGTGGATGAATGATGTGAAATATAATCAAGTGTTGAATCAGACTTTAGTTCCACCTGGACTAAATCCACCAGCTACCCTGCAGTATACAAAGTCATTCAAACTAGCTGCACCTTTACCAGCTTTGAGAACACTTTCATGATCAATCATTATAAAACATATCATATATATTATTCTGAAATGGACCAATCTGCACAACGACTACTTTTACTGTCGCTGCTTTCACTATATTTTGATGAGAATACTTTTGTACTCTTACTTCAGTAACATTTGTATTGCAGGGCTTTTACTTGTAACCGAGTATTTCTACACTCTGGTACTTCTACTTTTGCTTAAGTACAAGATCTGAGTACTTCTCCCACCTCTGGTTATAGAACTCATTAGTTACATACGTAAGTTTTATTGTTTTTCAAACTTGCCCATATATGTTTAATCTATAATTTTGTAAGTATCAAAAAACATTATTCCAAATAACACATATAGATGCTCAGGAGTGCAGCAATTGCTTTCACCATTCTACATGTAATGAACTCCCCGGTTGCTGTGCTTTAAAGCTGTGCTGTATGAAGGTGGAAGTGGACATGGAGAAGATCTCTACAGAGATTTCAGCAGCAGAAGAGGCAGCCCGCAAACGCATGGCAGACCGTGAGAAGGATGCAGGAGACCGAGGTGCACGGGAGGCCCCCAGCTGTGTCTTAGCAGAAGAAGATAAACACGTATGTGCCACACACGGCAGCAAGCCCAAAAACCCTCTGAGTGAAGGGGGCAACACAGAAGGCGAGGGAGCAGACACCAGCAGCACAGAGACACAAGGTGAGCTATCTGGCCGTCATGTTGATCCACCTTAAGTAAGAATTCCAGTATTGGAGCTTTTAAAGCCAGACACCAGAGACTTAAGTTTCCAACTTTTCATCAATAAAAAGTTTAGAGGCGCCGATGGGAGACGGATTCTGTCATTTCCTTTTTCATCGCAAGTAAGCTTTATTCTATTGGAGTGTCTTCAGTTCCCAAACTGAAAGTGTGTCTTCTCCAATTCATTGTTTCCTGAGCAATTCCAGACAAGATGACATCACACATTTGATATTTAGCAATCCAGTCTTTTGATTTCAGAAAGAAACTTGTATTTTGGACAGTACTGGACCTCAAGAATGATGAATGTTGAATAAAGGCTCAGGCCCCCTGTAACCTAATATTCTTGTTTCCTTGACTCAGGGAAGCCAAAATCCTCCGAAGAGGTTGAGGCTCATCCAGGCAGCGAGGAGGGGGCATCGGAGGACAAGGAGAGCGTCCCAGAGGGAGCCATGGAGGAGGGGTCCAGCGACAGTAACACAGGCTCAGAGACCCCCTCTGCTCAGACAGAAGAGGCCCAGCCCAGTGGGCCATCAGAGGGGCCCAGCAGGGCGAGAGCAGCTCAGTCCAACACCTAACTGTTTCACCCTGTGATCATATATATATTACACAGTATCATCTCAGTTTGTCAAAGCATATGAAGAACATCCACATGTTTCAAAAGCTTGAGGCAAAGATGATGTTTTAGCCGAGTTTGAAAACACCAAGGCTCCCAGACATGCGCTGAATACAAATGAATGGTGAATATAAAGCACTTGGAGCCGACAATGCAATGACCCCGTCCAAAAGAAATGATCAATGGCTGCTACAGTAAGTGTGCCACGTGAAAGCACTACCTTTCCTCCACAGGCTTCTGGCCATTTGGAAGAACCCATACAGGCCCTCTTCAGCACATATGGATACATATCTCTAGCACTAGGTCTGGCAGGGGCAGACAGGCTATTAGAAAGAGAAGGCTGCCACATGAAACAAACATTGTTCAGTGTTATATTTAACTTAGTCCTTTGTATTGTAGTGACCTTGTTGCTATTATTGTTATTTTTGCATGTTGCTATTTAAAAAAATCAAGTCAGCATACTTGTGAAGCTGGAGAATATTTCTTTACTCTTTGTATCAGTATTACAGTGACAGTATTGTCTCAGGAGTTTGTATTCATTAGTAATAAGTATTTTTGTCATCATTTGGTATCATACTTGTGTATCTGTTGTCAACACGATCATCAATGCTGTACAATGCTCGACCAACTGTGTTCTCAAGTTTGCTAGCTGTCAATCAAATCAAAAGCAGTACGCTTAGAACATTTCTGTGTTATGATCAAGTTTGCTATTTTCAGCCGAAAAACTTTTAAATGTACCGTAATTGTGTACACCGTGTAACGAGGTTTGCTTGAACTTTCCATGTTGTGAAGCAGCTTGAAGAACAATCATAAACATGCAGTCTTCAAATGAATTTCTTTTTGCATATTTATACCAATAAACTTTTCTACCCTGAACAAGCTCTCAATTGATTGTTATGACAAAATAAATTGATGCAAGGTGACATTTATATTTTAAAGGTCCATGGCCATTTCTACTGATCATAGTTCCATTGTTGAGGTCTACTAGAATAGATTTACATTGTTCAATGTTCCAAACTCACATTGGTTTCTCACAGCATCTCTGTATAGCAGTGGTTCTCAAATGGGGGTACGCGGACCCCTAGGGGTACGTTGCAGTACTGCAGGGGGTACGTGAGATTTATTTTATGTTAATGAAAAAAACAACATAAGTAATGCATTTAAACAAACTACTAATAGTAGATGAGCTACTTTATTCAAAAGTCTACAGTAATTCTGGATAATAAAATGGGAACAATAAACGGGGTGCTCTCTTTTCCTCTCCCTCTCCTGACAGCCCGTTAGTCTCGTGCAGCTCGCTGAACCTGTAATGAGTGACCCGACAGTAAAGAATAAATATATGTATAACTAGTATAGCTTGTTCCAGAGTAGATAAACAAGCTAAGTGTGTTAGGTCTAACTCTTAGTGTATTTATTTTTGCTCCACTCAACGGTCCGTCACAGCGACGGAGCTGTGATCATGCAGAGCTGCGTGTTCTCCGTCAGCAGCAGCTGATCTGATCTCTCTCTCGCGTCCGGTTAGACTTTACTCGCGTCTAAGTCCAAATCTGTCAGATCCAACTAGTTCTAGTTAATTATATGACTGCCTGCTTATCAAAGGACACCGAAACAATAAGCGTTGCTTGGCAACGGCTTGTGGCCGCAAAGTATAGTGCAGCATTATGCATATGTTTATATGAGGAATGAGGGGTCAAAATCCCATGCTCATAAAATGCTCATATATTTTTTCTCTTCATTCCCCACGCCCCAAAATGAATGAATAAATAGACCAATTTTGGGAAAAGTAAGGAAGTTTGAGCAGTGTGGGTTTTATATGAACAGAGTTACACATATTTCAAAAGGCAGAGTGTAATAACTGCAGGTTGCCTCACTGTCAGAATGACAAAGATCCTCAGTGAAGCTCAAGCCCATGTTTCACTACATTAAGTAACTTATTCAAAAGATCAGTTCAATGCAACTAATGTCGTCTTAGTGTTATTGCATGATGTTAAAATTGGTTTGCCATGAATTTAGTGATGGATTAAACATTTGAAATGTAGCATTTAAGGGTTTCTCAGTTACAAAGTTGTTGTTTTAATAAATCAGACACTGATGGTGCAGCGCTGTACTGTACCTCTTTATATAGGCATTTTTCCTTAACAAATAGTTTTTGCGCTGATCAGGGGGTACTTGGCTGCATTTTTTTTTCAAAGGGTGTACATTATTGAAAAAAGTTTGAGAACCACTGGTGTATAGTCTGTGTATTCACTCTCTGTCCTAAACGGCTTGTTGGAGCTCCTGCCCCCCCCCCCCCCTCCCTGTGAGCCCAGTGTGCTCTGATTGGTCGGGACGTTGCGAGGCTCGTTGCTGCGAGGAGCGGACAGGCTTCCGGGTCGGCGATACAGCGAGAACAAGCTAAACTCATCCTGAGCACACACAAACACTCACAGCCGAAGTAAAAACAATAAGTGTGGCTTGATATTGAGAAAGAAGAAGGTTTATAACGCTGTGAGCATGGGTCTGCTGCGGAGAGCATTTCTCCGCCATCCCAACTCGGCTATTACCAGCGTTCAGGGAGCTCTATGCAAGTCAATGGGGACTCCCTGTTAGTTAGCCAAGGGACCCTGGTGTGTGAGGAGCTCCGCGGATTGGTCCATTTGGAAAAAGATAAATGTCCAACGAGGCGTTCTGGGGCAGCATAGACAGGTCTATTCTGTGTTAGAGTTTTACTCTGCAGACTGTTCACATGCAGAAAAACCTTCATAACACACAAGGAGACGGGTAATAACCGGAAAAGCATGACATGGGACCTTTAAATAGTAGACTTTAAAACTATTTTCTTTGATAACATTACTTGAAGCAGTCAGTGTTGCAGAGGTCTGTAACTAACACCTACAAAGTGTGCTTGCATATAGCTATTTGTCCCCTGCACATATAGGTAAGGGAAGTGGGTAAAATGAGAGGGAATGGTTCCGATTTCCTGTTTTCACTACAGAACCAATCTCCTCGTGCTTGTGGTGTGATCCAGCATTATTTCCTAAACTTAAACCATCCATGAGATTGAAGCTTTTCTTTATGTGTTATCTTTGGTTTTTCCTCTTAGAAGATGGTGTTAAAATCAGATTTGACAGTGCTGTAGTTTCAATGTAAAAGATGCCGCCTGCATTGCAACTTGCCACCCTCTGTATCGTGCGGTTCGCCCAGCCTCAAGTGAAAACAAGAGACCACAACCGCAGACACAGGTGTGCAGAAGCATGTACGCATCGTGTGAGTAAGTGTGCAAAAGGGCCTCATCTTCAATTTACTTGTGTGTCAATGGGTTTTAGACCTTGATTTGTGTGTGATTTATAAGTTATTTAAAAAATATTCCAATTAAAATATGAATGTAGCTGTAAATATAATATGCAGCTGATGGTTAGTGGTTGCTGAGCACTTCCAGATAATGATCTATGCAGTGTGTGTCTTTGAGCAATCAGTGTCTTTTTCTAAAGAAAGTGATTTACATGAACCATTTACATGTCATGCTTTACACCTCAGCTGCAACTTCTCATGTATTTCCTTTAATACAAAATGTATTTTGCTAACGTTGCATTTTTACATACACACACTTGATTTTTGCAAATTACACACAAAAATGATTTTACGAAAATATTGTAGTAAGTATACTTTAATATAATTGAGTATATTTGTAACTTTTTCCCTGAAAACCCAAACCTGAAGAAATGGGAAGATGTCACATCTCACAGTTGTATCATAATTATTGATGTTATTGCTGTTTGAACTGATCTAATCTACATATTTGAATCAACAATACACTGTCGTGCCAATAATTGCAAGTTTAAAGTCTATGGTTTTCTCACATGATACTGAGGAGAAAAAAGACGTCAGTGAGGAAGTTCTGTCTTTCATTTCAACAAAGGGAAACCACCATCAAACAGAGAGACATTCAGCCCTCTGTGTTCAGCGGCTCTACCTCCAGCGCTCGGCTCTCAGTCAACATGAGGTGTGAGTACCTTATCAAAGTTTAACTTGCATAGTTCAAAAGTTGTTGAATGAGTTGTGGTTAGTGCATTGTGAAGGCTCTCTGTAAGTTAAAACAGGGAACAAGTTATTAAAGTAATGTCAAAAGCTAATCTCGTATCAAAGGAATGATTGTTAGTTATAGTCTTATAAAACATATGTTCAATCAACAAAATGTACCATGGCAATGTGTTAAATGATGGAAAGTGGTGTCAATGCTATAATCGTTTAAGCGTGTCATAGTTCTTTTTTTTTTTAAAGCAGACTAATAGAAAGCCACACAAGGTGGTGTGCAGCAACACAGACATGTCGCACGAGGTGAACTTCAAGAATGTTTTATTCGTGAGAACTGTTCGCACGTAGTCATTCAGACAACACTATTTTTGAAGAAGCCTCAACCTGGAAACCAATGCTTATTATTATCAAATCAAATAAACAGTTACTTGCAAAGATAGATTGAAAATCTTGTCTTATTTTCCATTAGTTACTGTTAGTGACATTTATGTGGAACTTTATCTTTTATAAAAATACTGAACGACGTTTTTTCAATGAGCTTCTACAACATTACCACTGGTTGCAGAGGAACCCTATTATTTCCAGCAATATGCAAAGCAATGTCACCAGTGATCTGAAACACAACCAAACCTAACAGATGTGAGCCGTATGGTGGCATGTTCAAAGCCCCACCTGACTGGAATACTTGACCTGCTGCTATTAGATCTCTTGCATCATTGGGTTTATTTAAACATGCATTGCTATCTCACTTTCAACTGGTCTGTACTTGTTATTAATGAAACTGATATTGATGAAACTGATTTGCTCGACTGTCTCACATTGTAATGATTGTATGCATTGCTTGAATTTCACTTAACAGACTGTATGTGGTTTGTCTTGTGTGTCATGTTTTGCATTTTGTCCTTTTGTTTATGTATGTCTGTAAGTTGTTGCTATTGTCGGGACCCCCTTGAAAACGAGATGGTGCATCTCAAGGGGTTTATCCCAATCAATAAAAAGTTCTATATATATAAAGGGGCAAATGATGAGGAGTTCTGCTCAGCCACTATCAAAAGATTGTATAACGTATTAGAACGTATAACAATGTTGAGGAGCTTTTTTCAGTCTAAGAAAATAATAACGTCTTCACATTAATATCTATTACACATAATGATCATACTATTATCCATCATACTATTATAGTACTTGGCCTTCTAAAAATGTTCATATTGTTTTTCAGATCTTCCAAACCTTCTGCCAGCTGTGCTGATATGGTTAATGCATTTTAAGGTAAGATCAAAAGTGTTGCACCTGTTATTACAGTTGTTAACATGAACAAAACAAATATGTTTGTAGCAATTGATACGTACTTACTGTATAGGGGAGCGCAGCAGGTAACTAACCACAGCCTTCCCCTCACAAGCAACATTTCCTTTTTTTTTTTTGAGAAGGTGTACCAAAAACTTTAACGTTTTGTGAAAAGCACATTTATTTTCTGATATATTCTGCTTTTATCTGATCAGTTCATTTGTCTTCGATTACAGTGTTGCCTGTTTCAATATGAAGAGAACACAACCAGCTATGCAGAAAAGACCATCTTTCTGAACTATGACTATGAAAACTTCACTATGGACTATGGAAACTTCAGTGTGGATTATAGTGAATATAATAACTACTGTGTGAAAGAATCCAACCGCCAGTTCCGCCGCTGGTTCATGTCCACCTTCTACTCCATCATCTTCTTCCTAGGGCTGACAGGGAACCTCCTGGTCATCCTCACCTTCTTCTACTTCAGGCGTCTCAAGACCATGACGGATGTGTTCCTGCTCAACCTGTCCTTTGCGGACCTTCTCTTTGCTCTGTCACTCCCTTTTTGGGCAGCCAACTCCATGGCAGAATGGGTTCTGGGCCTGCTGGTGTGCAAAGCCATGCACACCATTTATAAGGTCAGCTTTTACAGCAGCATGTTCATTCTCTCTTTCATTAGCGTGGAGCGCTACTTCGTCATCGCCAAGGCCGTCTCCGCTCACCGCTACCGCTCCAAGGCTGTGTTTCTCAGCAAGGTGTCATCAGCTGCCATCTGGGTGATGGCACTGATCTTCTCAATACCAGAAATGAGGTACACCACCGTCAATAACAAAACCTGCACCCCTTACTCCAGCAACTCTGACAAGCTGCGCATCAGCATCCAGTCGACCCAGATAGTTTTGGCCTTTGCTCTCCCGCTCCTGATAATGAGCATCTGTTACAGCAGCATTATCCAGACCCTTTCAAAGGCTCGGAGCTTTGAACGCAATAGGGCCATCAAGGTGATTCTCGCCGTGGTGGCCGTCTTCCTGGTCTGCCAAGTACCTTATAACCTGGTTTTATTTTTGAACACAGTGGTCACAGCACAAGGAAGAGTGGTTGACTGCGACTTTGAGAACAATCTCCTCTACGCAACCGATGTGACCCAGTGCGTGGCCTTCCTGAGGTGCTGCCTGAACCCCTTCGTCTACGCCTTCATCGGTGTGAAGTTTCGTCACGACCTCCTGAAGCTAATGAAGGAATTGGGTTGCATGAGCCAGTCGAGGTTCGTCAGGTATAAGTACGGCAGGAGGAGGAGTTCAGGGGCCACAGAGACTGAGACCACCACCACGTTCTCTCCTTGAAGCTCTTTCAGCATGGACATCTGCCTATTCACACCTGCACAGCTCACATTGGACAATTAGATAAAAGTCTAAACACATCAAGGTTATTTGACATGTAAATAGCCAAGTTTATCATAGAATTAATTAATTACATGTATGTGGGGTTTGGTTGTTGTTGTTTTTGTTGTCTATTTGTTGTGTTTATTTTGTCAAGGCTTTGATTATTTGCTTGGCTACAGTGCACAGTATTTTGATGAAATCCATTGTGTGAATGAAAAATCATGTTTTTCCTAACTTTTGACTCGACAGTGGAAGTGCACCAAATCATGTACATGAAATCTCTGTTCTGTATCGTGTTGTTTAATAGGTGTTATGAAACACAATAAAGTTTGATGGAATAACCCTTGTGGGGGAATGGTACATTTGACATCATCTCATATCGAACGCAGGCTGGAGTGGATCAAATATAAACACAATTCTATTCTGGGAGACTTTGGGATATCTGCAAATATAGAATTGTTGTACGAAGAATATAAATATATCGTTTTGTGATGAAACAAAAGAAATACTGATTTACACTAATAACGGTTACGATGTGGCGGTTTTGGAATAAAGGGATGTATATTATTTAAAGAGTAAAGAGCAATTTAAAAAAGAAACACATTTATGTTTGTTTCAAAATGATAAAAATGGGGAAAAGGCAGCTTGATAATCCTCAATGATTTGATTAAGAAAACCTCTCTCCATATGCTCAGTGTTTCTACACACCAGATGTCATAATGTATCCAGAGGTCCATTGACTGTCAGGCTACCAGAGGCAGAAACACCCGAAGCATCAGTTACTGAAAACACCCACGAGCTCAGAGTTAATCTCCTGCTTGTTTTCACCTGTCCTCTCAAACACTCCCCAGCTTCTGTACTTGCACCCTGCAGGTGAATATATTATCATGGCAAAGATTAGACTGCTGAGTACGAGTATATGCAAGCACAGCATTAAAATGATACGGAAATATATCACATGCACTGCCTCTTGTGATAAACTATTCAACAGAAGAGTTAAGGCCTATCCCTGTGTATAAAAACACACCCCTGAGGTTATAAACTCTACACTGCTTAAATCATGACATCAATAGTTGGAGTTGCAGGATTAGTGATCCTCACTGCTGATTGGCTCACAGGAAAAAGGGTTGGGATTTCCTACATAAAAAGCATGCAACACATGAAATGTCAAAGTGAATCAGTGGACAGTGTAAGAGTAATTCAACTTTACCACCACTGAATCTTGAACAGAGATAAGGTAAGACGACTTTCTTTTACTTTTACTTGGGATATGAATTGCATTCAAAGTAGACAGGATTGTTCATTAATCAGCAACTTGAAACAAATATATAAACAGTCTTATGTGTATTATAGCTCTCTGTCCATTATTATTATTAATATCACTATTTGATTTGTATACATTTTGTATTATTGCAAAAGGTCAAAGCAGGGACCTTAAATAGCTATGTTGAAGCAAATCAGGATTCTCCACATGTATGCTGACATTTCCTAAGATAAAAAAACTGCAGAATAACTCATTGCACTACAGATCTATACGCCAGTTGTATTGAATGGCACACTATGTTATTAATCAAGGTGAGGCTCTGCGAGTGGGTGCCCTTCAAAAGCTAACAAACGTTTGGAATGATCTTTTTTCTCTCCGAAAGGACATTTTTTGTCTGTGGACTACTGGGTCTTAGCTGTTGTAGGAAAACATCATAGTAGTCATGGTAACCAGTAGTCACCTGGTTGACTCATTGGGAACCACTCCTCGTCTGAAAATCGGAGAGGGAGATACATATTTTCCTCCATATGACACACCCTTCCTGAACAGCTATTCATGCTGATAGCAGCCTATCTTAGCCTGTGTCATTATTAATAGAGGGGTTAAGAAATGGAGAAATGTGTGGGAAGCGTTGGGCAATATATACTGACTTATGCACTGTAGGACAGGGACTGTTTCCATTGACTTCACCAAGCGGTGAATGAGCTTACCTTATATAAGATTTTACGATTTCAATGAAATATACTTGAATGATGACCTCTATTGAAGAACATTTCCTGCAACAGCACTGCAGACGTTTGCAAACGTTGCTTTAATCACCCGCGGCAACAATACAACTTGGGATAAGTGTATAGTGCAAAACTGTGGACCAAATGCACTAAAAAACCTTTTTTGAAGTGGGGTAGAATGGGGAACGTAGCTCATAGTCAGTGTATTGAAGTCAATAATACACCACCACTTTGGAAAAGCCAAAAGATTTTTGTTTATGGAGTCTGAAAAAGAAAGCACTTTTTTTTCTTCTCAAGATTGTTATTCAGGGATTTTCGCTGTTAATGGATGGACAGGAAAGGGGGAGAGATACTGCGTGACATGCAGAAAATGACTGCCGGTGGGTTTGGAATGACTGCAGTGAATACAGGTGAACTGATCTCTCTCCATTGTGTCTCTGTCTGTAGGAGTCCCAGAAGACAGTGAGCTCTCCTATCATGATGCCTACAGCTAAAGGCATGTCCCAAATGATACCCAATCACGTTCTGAGAGTGGGTCAAACTATCCGCCTTGACGCAGGGCAGGAGAGGGCCAATCAACATCCCATTGTCACGCAGCCCAGCAGTAACCATGACGACGCTGATCTTGATATTTCCCTGGATAATCTCAACCAGCTCATCATGGAACTGGATCCGACATTTGAACCCATTGAGATCAACAAAAGTCCGCAGTGCTTCAGCCCTCCTACAGGTAGAGTGAACTTTTAAGCTTCTTTGCTTAGTTTCTACACAGTTCAAACTGTTATTACTCTACTATCAAATCAAATGAAGTTTTATTTATATAGCACATTTAAAAGCGATCTTTGGTCGAGCCAAAGTGCTGTACATGTAATAAAAACACTTTACTAAAATCACAATAAAAGACAATCATTTACAACAGAAATATAAAAATAATAAAACAAAAGTCAGGAGTCGTGCTCCGCTCTGGCTAGAAGGCCAGGGAGAAGAAGTGAGTCTTTAGTGAGGATTTAAAAACCCCTAGGGTCTGGGCCTCACATGGAGGGGCAGAGTGTTCCAGAGCCTAGGGCCAGCTGCTGCGAAGGCTCGGTGCCCTCGGGTTTTGAGCCTGGTCTTGGGCACCACCAGCAGCAGCTGATCAGCGGACCTTAAAGCTCTGCCTGGGGTGTAGCGATGGAGGAGTTCAGCTATATAGGCCGGAGCCAGCCCATTTAGGGCTTTGAAAACAAATGAAAGGGTTTTAAAATCAATTCTGAACCGAACTGGAGGCCAGAATTGGGGTGATGTGGTCACGTTTTTTGTGGCCAGTCAGAAGAGGTGCAGCTGCGTTCTGCACTAGCTGCAGGCATCTAATTGAGGCCTGGTCCATACCCACATACAGAGCGTTGCAATAGTCCAGTCTTGAGGTAACAAAGGCGTTAATAACCCTTTCTAGGTCTGCTGTAGTGAGTGTTTGACATTTGCTTTGAGAGGCAGATAGATCTGTACATCGTCGGTGTAGCCGATGATAACTCATACACATCAACAAAGTCAAACAATTTACAGCCTCCAACCTGCAGAGGTGTGACACAGAGCCAAGTCAAACCATAGTCACCATGATGAAACTAACAGTATACATGGCCTGGGGCTTTGGAAATGAACCATCCCTTTGAGAAAGCTTTATTTTTGTATTAAGGGTGTAATTACATCACCTTAGATTTTCTTGGATTACTGCCCAGACCAGTACTACACCCTGAACATGTAGGACTAGTCACAGGAGAAGATGCAGACGAGGGTGGTGCTTCACTTAGACCTGCTCTGATCAGAAAGTGTGCACAAGAGTCACCAATGCATAAATATGGATTTCGTGTTGCATATCTTTTTTTGAGAAATGTTTGTTGAGGTGTTTATGAGACTATGTGAAGAACGAGTTTGAAAGAAATCAAGTAACAGTGATGAGAATCAAACAATGAAAGGTCAATCCGTTACATGAGTTCATGTTCATGCTTTGTGTTACTTCTTTCCTATTGTTGCAAAATACAGCATTTCCCCTCAAAACAACACTCACCACAGCACCTTTTAGTCTCTGACACATTTAGCTCTTTCTGTTCCAACATTAGTCATTATTATGTAACTTTGGTTTCAGACGCCACCCATCATGCAATAACCACAGGCTAGTGTTTTCTTCTGGGAATAAACTCAGTCAGTGCCCAGCAATACAGCAGAGAAACAACAGAACCTTGACTTCACAAGAACAAGTTGAGACGGGTCTGAGTGATTTGGGATCGTCACCGCAGAAATGCACAATTCAAAGAATTTAGTTTGGAACGATTATCCTGAGCTGTGCAAGCAAGTACCTGCATATCCATGTCTCTATCAGGAGCGTGTGTGTACATACAGAGGCCCATCCCTTTCTGCTAACAGAAAATCAAAGCATGAAATAAGAGAAATGATGGAAGAAGCATGTTTTTTCCCAAACAGTTCAGTATTTTTTGCTAACACAGTCCTCTCTATTGTTTCTCAGACGACTCAGATGAAGAGGACTCTCATTGCGTGCTGGTCCCCAGAGGATGTCCTCCCTGCTCCCTGCCCACTCAGTTCCCATCTGTGTCCCCCAGTATAGCCATCCCTACACCCAGCGGCGTGTGCTGCAGCCCCCACGGCACACTGGTGTTCTCCAGCTCCCCTACAGCCTCCCTGCCCCCGCTGCCGTTTGGGAGTGCACCCCGACGAAATCACTCTTCAAGACAAGACACAAACCTGCGCTTGTCATACTCAAACAGAAACAGTGCCGTCTCCCTCCTCTCCATGTCAACATGCTCAGACACTAGCTACATCCTCGGCAGGTAAAACTCACAATAAAAGCAAAGAACAAGTTTACAATATCCATCCATGCAATGACTGATGTGTGGCTAAAATAGTGTCTTAAAATGCTGCAAAACATTAACTCTATGTCTATGAGGCTGACCAGGGTCAGGCGACTGATACGTGTTTGTAGTTTTCCACTCAAAGTCAAGTTTAAAGGCAGCAATAGCAGTCCCAAACTGGAACATGTTGCCGCAATACCAGAAACGAGTTGGAGCCATCTTCTCATTTCATTATAATGTTACAGACAAGACACTACAGGCAAGAAATGTATGTTTATTTTGGTCACATTTATTTTCCTTTTGAGACTAGTGGAAAGAAAGCCTTAAGAATACACAATTAGGGGACTATTTTATTATTTCTTGTCTTTTTGCATCTGTAGATTGTTCCCAATTTCACTAAAAAGATAGCATTATATCATTCCAACAAAGTGTACCATTTATCAAATGTTATAGTGCACATCTTTAAAGGCCATTTCTCAAAGTGTGTTTTTTCTCTGAGTCAGATTGTTTTACAGAGAAGGGTTGTTCACATCCTTGCATGATTTAATCGAGGCTAATATTGAAATGAATGGCTGTTGACTCTTCTCCCTTTCTGTGATGTTGAGGTTCATCTTTATGTTACTGTGTATTGATTTGAACATTGGAAATGTATCCTCTTCTTCCAGAGGTGGGAGAAGTTCTCCGATCTTGTACTTAAGTAAAAGTAGAAGTCCCATTGTAGGAATAGTGGAGTAAAGGTACAGAGTAGCAAACATTACAAAAGTAAAGTACAAGTCTGACAAAATTGTACTTAAGTACAGTACTTGAGTAAATGTCCTTACTTCACATCACTGTCTTCTTCTCTGCCTAGCAACCTGTCCCTGGCCAGTGAAGACGCTGACTCTCCTCCAGAGTCCATGTATACTCGCACGTGCGGCTCCTTCAGTGAAGGGTTCAAAACCAGGACCCCAGATAACAGGCACAGCCCAGATAAGCCCCCGTTGTTACAGCGAGGACATCTACAGGAGCTTCATGACAAAGGAGCACACAGCAGTCCTACTTCACTCTCTGGGTCCTGGGGCGATATTCCTCTACTGCTGGTCAACGGTGAACCTCAGCTGGATACGTTCCAACAGAAGTCTCCTGGACCAGAGATTGACATAATACAGGCCAACCTTGTGTCCAACTCAAAGCCATTGTCTCCACACAGTGAGTCACACCTCTTAGAGTAGTCTTTTTTGCTAGCAGCTAACATACTTTCTAACTAACAGTATTATGTATACGAGAAATGTGTAAATATTTGATTTTAAACGTTTAATATGTGTGCTCACTTTACTAAATACTGCTTTGATTTTGTTTCTATCAGCACCTTCTCTTTGCTGTTATGCACCCTCTTTGGGACTAATAACGGAATTCTGATTTTGATTCTGAAACCTCTTTTAAACATTTTTTTTGTAGGCTTCCAAGCCCGTTTTAATGGCAGCAAGCCCTCAATGAAGTTTGTCATGGACACTTCAAAGTTTTGGTTCCGTCCACATTTCAGCAGAGCAGAGGGTAAGCATTTCAACAAAAAAAGACAGATATATTTAGCCATGCTTTGAAACGTTTTGGCCTAGCGGGTTTGAGTGTTTCTTCTCAGGGCAGAGGATTTGGGGGTGAACACACGTGCAAATGTCTCTCAGAAATTCATGTGATGTATCATTGGTTGTAGCTGAAGCCCTGTTGAAGGACAAGGAAGCAGGAGCCTTTCTGGTGAGAGACAGCACCTCCTTCAGAGGCAGCTTCGGTCTGGCTATGAAGGTGGACCAAACGGCCGACAACCCAGGTAAACTATGGATCCTTTCAATGTGCTTTTATAAAAGTCGTAGCAGTGTTTGGTTCGGTACAGGAAAAAGAGCGATGATCAAAGCCACAAAAACAGACAAACAACCTGAACACTGTGCAGCACGGTGTCGTCATTCGTCTATCCCAGAAAGCTGAGAGGCCCAGATTCACTTACCCAACTCTGCTGATGTGAACGGGCATGTCTGATGACATCCAGCCATCTGCGGCCAGGCAGGAGACAGCGCTGTTATGTTTTCCACCCGCAGTATACGCTGTGTAAACACAAAAGTAAACCAGCTGTTTATGGATGTGTAAGCAATCACAGAGGAAAAATGGACCTCACTCACGAAACAATTCTGAGGCTTCCTTCATTTGCAGATTTGTAAACTTTTTAGGAATGCAGGATATGATATTCATGCAAGCGCTGTCGACAAAGATAGACCATTTCAGTGTGCAGTGATGACAATGTCTTGTACAATATTCCTCTGCTTAATTATCCAGTAAATTGTAAGTCGCTTTGGATAAAAGTGTCAGCTCAATGTAATGTCAATTATTCTAAATATGTTTCTTTCTGACATCAGTGTCAATTTGAGGGGAAAAACGACATTGATGTCAGGGTTTTACTGCAAGGGCAATAAGAGAAGAGCAGTATTGCATCATAATGTTAAAGGTTTGTTGTTTTCACATGATTATATTTCATCTTATAACATGTGTTTTACAATGTACAAACTCATAATGTTATAATGAAATATAACATATCAATATCATGAAAATGTCTTTTTTATTTTGCAATCCTATGTATTTTCTGAAATATTTGTTTAAATGTGTGATCCGTACATTCTGATTAGACGTTTATTAAAATGGTGTTGGTTGATGTGTACTAGTCTTACAGCTCTACATGGGCTGGGCATCATGTAGCAGGACACTAATGTCATGAGCCATATGAAAAAACTGTCAGTGCCATTCCCTTCTGCCAACACCATACATTCATTAACTCCATTGTTTTTTGTGACTCTTATCAAAGCAGGAGAGGGCAGTGAACATCTTTTCAGACAATTCCTCATTGAATCATCAGCTAAGGGTGTACGCATCAAAGGCTCTTCTCAGGAACCATACTTTGGTAGGTAAATGTTAACAACAAGACCACAGTGTTGCACATGTAGAAGTCAATGTCATTGATAACTCACTGAAAACTCACCCGCTTACGCAACACATGTACACATCCTGGATTGACTGTCTGATGATGTGTGCCACACCAGCACTGAGTCAGCCATGTCTGGCCTCTTAAGATGTGAGTGGGCAGCTCCTAATTTGATTGAATGAGTTCACAGGGAGTGTTCTCACGTCCACAGAGCCATTATCAGGGTTTATTGTGGCCTGTTTTCTTTGTTATCCGCTTCCACATAATTCTATCTTCAATAAATACAGCTGTGGTGGCTTTGTAAAATTCCAACACAATAACAAAAAAAAAAAGTATATTGAACCAGATACAGGCTATCATCCTCTCATCATTTCATTTCAGCTAAAAGTTTTTTATATCATGTCAAAAATATTCACACTTTTCTAATCTTAAGAGGATAGTGGACTAGATCGAATGTTAAAAACAATGATTTGATTTGTGTTATCTCTATAGGTAGTCTCTCTGCTCTGGTCTACCAGCACACAATCTCTGCTTACGCTTTACCCTGCAAATTAGTGCTCCACTGCCAAGGTATGCTATTACATACTTATTTACCACGTGTGTGTGTGTGTGTGTGTGTGTGTGTGTGTGTGTGTGTGTGTGTGTGTGTGTGTGTGTGTGTGGCCTAGCATTACTATACTTGTGGGGACCTAAATCTGTTTACACAGTCACGTGTGGGGACTCGCCTCCCTTATGGGGACAAATTGGAGGTCCCCATAAGGGGAATCATTAATTTTAGGGTGAAGACTTGGTTAGGTTTAGGGTTAGGTTGAGGGTTAGGGTTAGGCATGTGTTGGTTATGGTTAAGGGTTAGGATAAGTCTCCAGGAAATGCATGTAAGTCAATGTAATGTCCCCTGAAGTGATGTATACATGATATGTGTGTGTGTGTGTGTGTGTGTGTGTGTGTGTGTGTGTGTGTGTGTGTGTGTGTGTGTGTGTGTGTGTGTATACAAGTATACAACATTTTACTTAAGGACAGTACTTGAGTAAATGTACTTAGTTATTTTTACACCACTGCTTATTTGTCTGCGCAGATGCAGCAGATGAGAGGGCTCAAGACAAACAAGCATCGGAGGACAAGAGAAAAACAGGTGGGTCAAATTAAAAATATAAAGGGAGTAGTAGATAGTACAGTAAAGAAGAATATAAACCTAATTTGTTTATGAACATGTAAGTTAACTAACACTTATTTTCACGTTATGAGAAAGTTATTAGTAGCCTAACGTACCAAGTGCCAGTTAGCTTAGAAGAAAATAAGGCGCAGCAAACACGTACAAAATGCGAAAAGTAGACAACAATTGGGGTTAAAACGAACATTAACAAGGCCTTACATTAAGTCACACAAATTCAACTTCATTAAATAAAACAGTGTTTTTACCTTTTCTTCTCTTGTAGTCACAGTGTTTGGCAGATATGTAGAAAAGGCTAACAGTAGCTTGTCCCTATAAACTTGCTAATTTAGGTTAAATTAGCTAACAGCTAACTTTAAGGTAACGTTTCTTCTTTAGGACTGGTCTAAATCGTTTCAGAAACACCTCAATGAATAATAACTAAATGTTAGTATTACAAGTTAATTGTAGCATGTTGTCTTGCAGCTAACAAAATGATAAAAAAACTGACGTAGCACAATTATTACTGTGTAGAGTGCAGCCTACTGTACATGTAACCGTGCTGTAATCCAGGTTAGCTAACGTTAGCAAAGCACTAGGTGGTACTAATGGCCTTGATTCATTAATGTTGCGTGTAATTAAATAACAGATGTGCCCGTTATTTTTACTTCGTTAATATGCCATTACTATCGTCTTGTTAGGCTGTTTTGGTGGGACTTACACATGATATAACATTTAAAGGAGCAATAATAACTACATTAGGGGTTATGTAGTCTTCTTTGTTTCTACCATTTATTTTTGAACTTTATAACCACATTCTATCTTGTTTTTTGACAAAATGGCAGATGAATGAATAAATGCAGCTAGATTTCCAAATAGAAAATAATATATTTAATGTTCTGGAGTAAAACAAAATTATATTTACATCTGAAGCATGGAGGATTGTAAGTATAAAGGACATTAAACGGGAAATACTCAAGTAGGCTACAGTGCAAATAACTTAACATTGTTTTAGGTACAGTAACAATTACTGTATTACACCACTGCCAGCCAACCAAGTCATGCATTTATATTATTTCTATATATTTTCAACTGTACCACCAAGTACAAATTATACAGAATAGACCTGTACAATGGAACAACAATAAGGAAAGACAGCTTTGGTTGAAAGTTACTACTTTCCTGTAAGTACATTTGGAGCAAATCCTTTTTGAAAGTACTTATCTACTGTATGTCTGTTTTGCCCAAGAGAATGGTAAAAAGACCAATGACCCAGAACAATCCAGTAGGGAGTTTCACTTAATTACATTTACCACCCTACATGTTTAATTACTTGTGTACTCAACCTGTATTTCTAATCAAACTATCACAATGTTTTTCTTTTCCACAGTTGCTTGCAATTTTGTCTACCTGAATGCTGTCCCTACTGAAACGCTGACGGGCCCCTGTGCAGTGCAGAAGGCGGTGTCTTCGACACTTGAGAAGGCCTCGGGTTCCTTCATACCAACCATAGTGAACTTGAAGGTGTCTTTGAAAGGCGTTACACTGACAGATGTCAACAGGAAGTAAGACTAACAACATACAGTCTTCTGCTGAGATTTTACTTACTGTACACGATAAAACCACAGTGCTGTTTTTGTGTGTAACATTTTGCTGCAAATGATCATTGCTAACAGTAACAATAATCTCTTTTTTAGGCTCTTCTTCAGGCGCCATTACCCTGCTCACCTCCTGAGCTACGGTGGGGGAGATCCAGACAATCGACTGTGAGTATACAAAACAAGTTCTGAAATCAAAGTGATTCTTAATGGTTCCACGCCGGAGGGTGTCTGTCAATTTGTACAGTCTATTTTCATGAATATCTCATATATATATATATCTATTTTTTTATTATATTATATACATCTATTATGTTGTTGGTCATAACAAGAGAATAGATAATGACTAATTATGACAATGTGGAGCAAATGTGTAATTTGTTAAAATGATGACATTTTAGACGGACATGAATGTAAACTGCATATTGAGTTGTTGGCGTAGGCGTACAACCACAAAACTGCAATTCTAGTATTAAGAATAATGTGCCGGATCTTGCCTTCAAATCTAAAGTTATTCATTTCAAAGGAGCTCTTCCTGCTATAACGCCAGAGTTATAAGCAGTCAAACTTTACCAAGAATTTCTCAAACCAAACTTTAACTTTTCAATATTTTAGTATATTAAGATGAACTTTTACTTTTTCACTCTGATTTTATTAGACATACACACATAGGTCAGAAATAAACACACACGCATGCACAAACAGGACCCTTTATTACAGTAGACACAATCTTTAAATATTAAACCTTGTCTTTTTTACTCTTACAGTTGGGTGAAAGGATCCAGTTTTGGTGCAAGGTAATTCTTAACTTGAATTGTGATATTTTCTGTTTAACTACAAATTATACATGTTTTCTCATGCGACGATCCATATGATAAAGCCACCCAGGTTTCTGGCTCACCTGCATTCTTCTTGAACTTAAATGTTGTACTTAATAAATCTAACTTAATCTAACATTTCTGTGTCCCGACAGAACGTTTGGCTTTGTGGCGAAAGGTATTGAGGCCGGCATGGAGAATGTGTGCCACGTGTTTGCAGAATATGACCCCCTGCAGCCTTGCAACAATGTCATTGAAGTTATTCGGGCTTCCATAGCTTAGCCACAGACTCACAAAGACTGAGGCAACATGACACCTGGGATCTTAAAGCACTATCTACACTTAAACTGTATTTTGTTAGTAACCGTCCATTACTGTATCTACTAGATTACAATACAACATCTGAAAAGCATGGTCACACATTAAAGTCAAAAGAGTAGCATATATGAAGATATGCAAGACTGATTTGCCTTCAAACAACAAACCAGACAAGGAACCAGCAACATTTGATTGTAAATTGCAAGCTGCTACCGTTCAAATAATCCAGTTTGTAAATGTTAAAATAAATTGTACTTTACTGTACTTTTGTATAAAGGAAGCTCTGCAAAATAATTTCAATGTTGTTTTACAAAAAGATAAGATAAAAACATAGAGATTAGGTCATGGTAAAGCAGTTGATTTTAATTATTAATTTACAATTATTTCCATGGTAACTGAGGTATACATTTGCAGTACCCAGCACTATTAAATGTAGTAATGATTTTGAAGATTCTCTTAATAGACTAGGCTAAACATATTGTCATGTCCTTTCATTTCAAAGCAACTTTAAAGTTTAAAGTTGAGAATGTATTTATTAAACTGCAATGTAAACAATATCTTCTCTGTATATTCATGTATTTGTTATGATGAAAATAAACATGTGGAACTGTTGCACATGCACATGTGTGTTCTTACAGATGTGTCAGTGAGAGGCAGTGTGTCAAAGTGTGAACAACACACCCTTATCTTTTCCTTTACCCCTTCATTACAGCCTCTCACTAAACACAAAGGGAGACCTTGTGGTTAACAACTGTGTCTTCTAGTATTTTAGACAAAGATGGTAAACATTTGACAGGAAACACAGAGTTAATATATTATTTTTTATTTTAAATGATGAATTGTTAGATAAAAGCACAATGTTCCATTCTGAAGGTAGAGGTCCTCAAATGAAGTGTTATGCATGAAGCAAAGCAAAATCGAGCACAGAACTGCATAGATAATATCTTTAAATAGTCTCAATATATTCTGAGGCACAAAAATGCAATGCACCATGGGACTTATATTTGTATATCTTTGATGCCAACTCAAAATGTAGCATAACATCGGTAAAGTTTAACAGATAGCATGTGCCACACAACCCGTGTTAAGCTTTGCTGACACACTGCAGTGTTAACTATTTACAAATACTGCCCTCCTCTGGTTAGGACAGGGAATCTCAATGATCTGAGACACGGCGTGCTCACAGTGAGCAGTGTTCTTTGTTTGCGACGATGTATGTATCAGTTTGAGCTGTAAAGGTGTTTCCCGCCACAAAGAAAATGAACTGCAATGACAAAAGACCCTCAAAGTGCACACAATCTGGATTTGTTCTTTTAGTGCTGCATGTGTCTGCTGTGCAAGCATTTATGGACTGCGGGGAAATGATCTGGGTGGAAACATGCCTTCTTCAGCATTTTTGATATTTTTGAAAGACCTTCTACTTGACTAGGAGAAATTTGCAACACCCTCCCCAAAATATATCAAAGTAATATAATTACAATTAATTAACACATAACACAATATTGTCTTCTGTTTTTTGAATATTCGAACCATTATTTATTTCAAACCTAAAACTGTCTCCAGGGATTGGGAACCGCGGTGCATTCGCGGCCATTTTAGGAGGATAACATCTATAGCAACGTTAGCAAGCCGTCAATAGCGTTCAGCTGTTTTGAATAAAGTATGCGCAAAATACAAATGCCCTTACAAATGAGAGCTTTCGGCAGAAACAGAGGAGCGCTAATCATAAAATAAATGTGGTTAATTATTGACATCTGTACTTATGAAGAGAAGAATGGACTGATCACTGTTACTAGTGCCTACACCCATCTGCAATTTAAACATATTTAATATAAGTCAAGTTAAATAGGTGGATACAAGACCTTCAAATCGACAGTTTTAATGACAACTATAAAATCATCTGGACAGAGGTAAGAGAGCTAATGTTAGGCTAACTTGAGTGCTGATAAAACGTTGGCTAATCACGCATGTTAAAATACCAGTATGTTTTTGTAAACTGCAGCATTTATGATTAAAATCGTATCCCCGGTGGAGTGGTTTGTGTTACTGTATTTGAGCAATTCTCAACACTTCGACAATTCTCAGACAGTCAGCAGATGGCTCCCATTCAACACATTCAGCGTTCCTTGCTGATGTTCGCTATGTCATCCTCTTTTTAATTTAGCTATAAAAGTATAAAATGTAATCCCATGGTTTGTCATGAGAGTTGTTTATTTACAGCCAATGACATAACAGTGCCTCCAGACCATGTTTAAAAGGTTTGAAGAGAAAGAGTTATGCTCTACTCCGCTCGCCGTACAGATTAAGTCCATTGTTTACTTTCGCTGGTGTCCTTCAAAGATGGCCGAATTGCTGTTGATGACATCACATTCATATTCACTATGACTTTATATGGCACATTACCCTATATTTATATGCTTTCCATGGAGATTTAAGTGAAAGTGGGACTTGCTATTGGATAGTGAAACATTTATAATCAATTGCTAAAAAATACCCTCCACTAATATTTTCATAGAAATGTTCATACAGTCCCTAAAATAAAAATAAATATACCTTTACGTCACAGAAGGTCATAGTCTGTGACTTCACACATGTAGAATGAAATGCAGTAGTAAAGCAGTCATATGATATATAATCTATTTTGTACAGTGAGTGACCTCATACTGAGCAATGACAGTAATAAGAGGCTTTTTTGTCAACTAGAATGATAACAAAGATATCTGATTCATATATTAAATTGCTATCCTCTGTAAGGGAGTGAATTAAGGTCCAAGGTTTTTAATTTAGTTTACTGACACTCTAAACATGGGCCAGCACAAAAGCCTGATGCATAATGCTAATCCTGCAACATTTGATTAGAGAAATCTGAGTCAGTATTGAAGCGAAAATCAATGAATGTTGTCTTTTGAAATATATATTAAGCATGGCAATGGGAGGTTTTATCCCAGGTGTCACTGTAATGTCTGTAACGTCAACATAACCCGTGGTACAACATAGCAGTGTTGATGTGGCAGAGCGGTCACTGTGTGATGGTGGGGATGCTGCGAGACCTCTTCATGATCAGACACACCTCCACGTCGGGCAGGCTGTCCTGTTTGGTCTGCGCGCAGCCTTCGTTGGCCGCAGCCATGTGCAGGTCGAAGCGCAGCGACACGGACTTCCTGCGCAGCTTGGGATTCCCTCTGAAGAAAGAGCCCTCCCACTGCTTTATCACTTTGTCAATATTCTCTGTCCTGGTAGGAAAGACATTATTAGGAATGAATAAAACATGATAAATGGAACGCAACATTATCAAAGTATTCACCCAATCACGGACACTAAGAATACCAAGTTAGAAAAAGTGATTTTTTTTGGATCTCTATCGTGTTCACGTGTCATACATTGGTAAGATCAATACTAAATAGTAAACATACTCGAAAAGTAAAAGTACTCATAATGCGTTTTTGGCCAAATACGGAATCATATTAAATTACTGGATTATGATTATTGATGTTTATCTCAGTTGGTAAAGGTGCGGATCTAATTTGAATTATTTAGTAAATACTTCTGATGGATATCTTAACCTATGGTTACATGTTAATGTATATTTATTAGTTAATATATATTTTGTTTCAACTTATAATATGAATTTGTAAACTAATTAGTAAATAAGGCTGACAAATAAGTGAGTAAAAAGCAGAATTCGGAAAAACTCAGGTTAAGTAAAATCAACTCAAAATAGAATGCAGTAGTTTAGCAATGCACCTTGTTACATTTATCCACTTAAAAAAATATTCTGAAACTTTTATAACGTATATGTCTATATAAATGTGTTTAAACATATTTTTGTGTGTGGATGTCAACTGCTGGAGGTCTCTTTATTAATTTATGCTATTATTTTGTGTGATGTAATTCCATATTGAATGTCACTATGACATCCATAGGAAATCAGGAATGATCCATGGGGCTGTGCAGGAACACCAGAGGGCAGCAAGAGAGAACACTTGGATAGGACCTGGTGTGAGAAATCGAAAATAGCAGCAACTGTGATGAGCTTGTTAGCAAACACTCGCTAATATTTGCATATTCAGATGTCTACGTTTTTTAAGAATTGGAGGACATTATCTGTCCCACCTATGACATTTCCAATGAATCCATGCCCAAAATGCTAAAACTGGACTTAATGTATTTGTCCTTAGACACAATGTAAATAAAGTTGTAGAAAAAGTAGTTTCGAAAATATACTTTATAATATCAAACAGCTCTCGAGCCCCCCCTAGAATGGCATTTTTCTCTGGTCCTTCATTCCTGGAGACCAACTATATGTCAAATATAACATTAAGAAACCGGCTTTTCATTTACTTGTTTTGCTATTTATTTTTTTGACATACGTCTCTTAATGGTCAATCAATTTGGTTAAATCATAAACATATTTGAAAACAGGGTACTTTCATACTTAAAGTGTGTCCCACAGCATGGGCACAACCCTGTTGCCCAAAGCTCAGCAGAGGAAGTGAAAAAACTGTTAGTGACACAAAGGAAATTACATCACCATGGGTGTTGGTGGTGGAGTCCATAGGTAATTGGCTTGGGAACCAAGTCTCCAAAAGACCAAATGCTACCGAGGTGTGCCTGAGCAAGGCACTACATACTTTATATGTAGTTACACTAACAAGGCGCTCCCCCAAATGAGAGATGCATTGAGCACTGCTAGCATAACATGGACACATTTGTGAGTGCATGGCTCCCAGCTAAACGCAAATCAGAGGATGAATCTTCACAAAATGTTCAATAACCCACTCTTAAATGAGGCAGACAGGCAAGCTCTTCCACGTCTGTTGCATTTATTTGCAACTTTGTTATACAGCAAACTTTATAGACAGACTTATCACTGCTGCTACTCCTGTTCACTTACTGACACATACTACGCTCGCTCACTCTCAATCGCTCTACACATGCAACCGCCACACATGTAAGGTAGGAGAGCCACGGCCACACTCCTTCCTTTTGCCACATCCTACCTATGTTTTTCTGCTGTGGCCTCCATAAAAACAGGGAGCTTAGGGAGCTGGTTAAGTTTGAAAATATGTTGAAAGCAGAAATGTTGTTGTTACACAGTAAAAGATACATAGTATTACACAGTTAGACCTAATTATTATAAGTCGGGCTCACAAATATTCTTATCTTCAAAAGGGGGGTCGTGCAAAATAAGTTTTGGAACCACTGCTTAGTGGGAATATTAAAATATATAAACAAAACTTTTTAGATGAACACCTAGTTATTGTGTGTTTTGTAAAATTCAAGTATAATTAATTTAGTTTGTCTTTGTCCACAGCGGAATATCCCTTTAAGAATACCTGGTTATCTGATGTCACTATGACAACACATTCTAAGCTTCCAAATCCTGGGCGGAGCGTAATTGTGTAAGAATAGGATGTCACTATGACATCATCTGTACAATATAATTGTCTCTCAGATTGGGATGACATCACCAGGAGATGAAAATGACATCACATGACATCCCAGTTTGGCTTTAATCTTGGTCTTTGGAATTTAGGGTATAGCAGACTCTAATAAGTGAGTTGAGTCTTGAGTCCTGAGCGGTGTGTATACTTATTCAGTCGGTTCAGACAAACTTTACAGTCTTCTAGATAGAACACGTCTTCAAAAGACAAATTGATTATTTTTCACTGTCTACAGAGTGTGCCATGGATAGAACAAAGTGCCAAAACAACATGGGAAACCCCAGGCCAACAAGTCTGAGAGAGGAGATGGAAGCTGAACAGAAGAAGCAGCTGGACGAGATTGTGGGTGGGAATGAGGGAGACCAAGGGAAGCTCTCAGACCAGAGCAACCAGGTGACATCTGACAGCATGAACATCGATAATCTCCTGCAGTTTGAAGCAGAGAGCATAAAACTGCTGATTGAAAAAGGAGATGAACTCTTTCAGTGCGTGACAGCCTGGGAGGACAAGTACAGCGCTCTGGAGGAGGACATGGAAGCTGCAGAGCGCAAACACAAGCAGCAGCTGGACGAGGTGGTGGCAGGGTATGAGGCACAGCAACAGAAGCTCTCAGACCAGAACACCAAGGCCAACCTGGTGACCTTAAACCTGCTGCAGAGAAGAGAGGAAGAACTGCTTCAGTGCCAGGAAAAGTTCACCAACAACCTGGCCGAGAAACAACAGAGCTGGGAGATTGAAAAACAACAGATGAAGACGATGTTGAACGGAGTGGTGGACGAGAAAAAGGACCAGGCCGGTAGGAACCACACCTTGGAGAGTGAAAAACAGAAGATGGAGATGAAATTGAAAGAGGAGACGAAGCACAACAATTACCAAACCCGTAAAAACAAATCATTGGAGAAGGAAGTCCAACAGTTGGAGGACCAGTTGAAAAAGCAGGGTGAAAAGTTCTCAAAAGACCTGGCCGGAAGAAATGACACCTTGGAGAGTGAAAAACAACAGATGGAGACTACATTAAAAGAGGCAGCGAAGGAGAAAGATGACCAGGCCAGTAAAAACATCATCTTGGAGAGTGAAAAACAACAGATGGAGATTAAATTGAAAGGTGTGACAAAGCACAAAAATTACCAGGCCCGTAAAAACAAAACCTTGGAGAGGGAAGTCAAACATTTGGATGACCAGTTGAAAAAGCAGGGTGAAAAGTTCTCAGAAGACCTGGCCGAAAGAAATCGCATCTGGGAGAGTGAAAAACAACAGATGGAGACTCACTTCAAAGAGGTGGAGAAGGAGAAAGATGACCAGGCCCAGAAAAACCTCAGCAGCGAGACTGAGCTAAAAAAGGTGGAGATCAAATTGAAACAGGTGACGAACAAGAAAAATCACGAGGCCAGGAAAAACCAAACCTTGGAGACAGAAGTCCAAGAGTTGAAAGACGAGAGGAAGGAGACAGAGGAAAGGTTCTCCAGACACCTGGCTCAGAAACAGCTGAGCTGGGAGGCGAAGGACAAAAAGATGGAGGATGAAGAGGAACTTCTGGAGGACCTCTCTCTGAACATGGATTACCAGGGGAGAGGTTTCTTGTTTCGTAGGAGGGAGACAGAGAAGGACGTGGACTTGCAGAGGATGCAAAGCAAGAGGCAAGAGAAGCTGGTGAGAGGGAAGGCAAAGAGGGAGTAAGCTGAGGCGGGAAACGGCGGGGGAAGAAGCTGCTGGTGCTTCAGCTCAGGCTGGACAACAGTAGTTCCCTCTACCTCCCCCCTTCCCCTCTCCCTCTTTCTCCCGATCCTTCCACCCCCCACGTCCTTCCTCACTCTCCTCCCCTTTACCTCATGTAGGGTTTCTTCCTGGATTTCAGGTTTTCCCGCAATCCATATTCATAATGGAATTAGAAAAAAATGTCACCATTAACTAACTCCTCCATTTACCTCACCTACTTCTTCCCCCTCTCTCCACCCTCAACTCTCCTCTCCATGTCGCTCACCTCTTTCTTCCTACCTAATACCCCCCCCTCTCCCTTCCCCATTTCTCATTTACGGTTTTCTCCTGGATCTCAGGTTCACCCGCAAAATATAATTAGATTTACAATTATGCTAAAATATATTTAAAAAAATGTACATGTGTGTTTCATTGTGTAAGATATACAGTATACGTATGACATTCTGGTTACTAAAATACTAGTGTTCATTCAATGCATGTTTTAAACAACACTGAATTTCATTAATAAAACAACCCATGGTATGAGATTGATAGATAGTTCTTGGTGTTTTTACATTTGTCTCATTTGTCTTATAACTTTAAAAAGGGCCCTATTATGCTCATTTTCCGGTTTCATATGTGTATTTTGTGCTTCTACTGTGACATGTTAACATACTTTAATGTCCCAAAAGGTCTCTCTTTGTCTCATACTGCCGGTAAGCAATTTGCAAATCATGTGAAAGCAGCTTTAGGTCGGCATTCACAAAACATGAGGACATTAAGAAAAAGTATAGGATTAAGAATGAATTGAATGTCAATCAAGTGACAGAGTGACTGTGAATGTGTTGATACAGCCAAGTATTCTAGCTGAGAGATTTGCCTGTGTGTAGCTTTTATTTGGACAGCATGTGTATTTGTGTGCTACTCTTGGATGCCTACATGGGCCTGGTGTCATCTGAAGCATGACTAAAGGATTCCGCCCAATGTCTGGTCCAACAACATCAGGTGCCACGCCCTGAAGACTCCACACCAGGCCAGTATCTCCACATGAAAGGCAAACCATTAATAAGGTAAAATTCCCATGCAGTGCTATGATGAATCACTCATGGGAACTTGTGCGGCCGACTTAATGTTTTATGCCTCGAAACTTGCTCGACATGGAATGGTAATTATTTTCAGAGCTTGAATATCTTGTCTGCTGGACCAGACGTCACCTGGGTGGGGAGGACACCTGTTCACCTCTCAGGTTTTTACTTGCTGAGTCGAAACCTGAGATTAGAAGGCTTCGAGAGATTAAGCAAGCAAGAAACCATTTTGTTACGTATGAGGAAGGTATGTATCTGGGTGATTGCTGTTAGAGCTTGTTACTTGAAAATGCCCACATGTCCAAATGAACAAAAGGTGCTGACTGCAGGTCAATGTTTGCCAAAAAGATCAATACTCACTCGATGGTGCCGTGTCCCTCCGCACTCTCCCGCACCACATTGCCCTGAAGAATCTCCTGAGTCTTCACAGTGGAGATTGGCAAGTCTTTATCTTGCTCTGGGTCTGTGAGAAGACATTAAAGAGGACATATTCTGCTCATTTTCAGGTTCATATTAGTATGTTCATGTTGTGTGTCTATTGGGACATGTCTCCATGCTTTAATGTTCAAAAAGCTCTTTTTGTTCTCATACTCCCTGTGCAGCAGCAGCTCTTAAGAAAAGATATGCTTTGTTGACCGTGAAAGATATAAATCTGTAGAATATCTGTCAGATAAACACTGAAAACTGCCAAATTACAGTTAACATTTAAAAGTAAGAAACCAGTGCCCAGTCTGCTCTGATTGGTTAGCTGGCCACCTCTGTTGTGATTGGTCAACCGCTTATGCCCCTTTCACACGAAAGAGGTTCTCTGCTTGCGCTTTTCTGGTTCGGAACCGGTTTTTCTTTTCAGCCCCCGTTTTGTTCACACCGCCCAGAGCCCGACTGGTGCTGCCGCAGCTGCGTCATGACGTCACGTTTACGTCGCTGATTTTCTCCCCAACAGCGCTCACAACAACAACAATGAGGGACTGCGTCGGGTCGATGATCGTGTTGCTTTTAATCATAAGAAGCCAGATTAAATTAAATAACGACTTCTCCAAATTTATACTTTTCTCCAGAGTACAGTGGTTAATTGTTTATTAATGTGTTTCAGCGGCATTTACCGACCGCTGCAGTGCTGCCCGCTGTTTGGCATCACAACGCTCTTGTGAAAATGTCTTTGGTATACGATAGGTGATGTTAGCATAGCAACCAAAGCTAAACTGACTATCTTGACTACTTGTTGCTATCCTATTGTGACATAAGCCGTTTTCTACAGGCACATTTTACAGGCGTATTCTACTTGTGATAGTTGGACACGACAACCTGTGCAGCCCAGTATTGATTCCATCCGATAGCTGCTATAATACAAAACAAAATGTCTGCCTGCTCTCCACAATGATCAATAACAGCGAACGGATGGTCAAAGTAAGGTACAAATAAACAGAATCACATGAAGCCTGGTTAGTGTTGCCTGACTTTATAAAGTGTGTTTTTTTTAATAAGTGTGTGGTCGCGTTCTAGTCACTTTGCTCAGCGCTACTGCTTGTTACAACTTTTTTGCCACACTCGCCAGGAGGACTCTCCTCCAGCATGTTGTGGAACAAACAGCTCCTTATGTCCATTAGTGCAGCTAGCTAACCAGATGCTAACAACACGGTCCCTGCTGGCACCGGTCTCTCTCTCTCTCCCTCTCTCTCGATCACACTAAATGCTCTCTTGCCACACACACACAGAGCCGAGCTTGAATGACACAAGCACACGTTTATTTCCATGCAACTCTCTGATTGGTCTGGTGTCTTGCCTCTGTTGCATTCACTGAAAACGGGACATTACAGTCCTGCCGTCCTCTCTTGTGTCATGATGAGGTTCACGTAAAGCACGGTTAATGTATTATATTATTGAGGGAGAATTGTCCGGGGCTAACCTTCTTATTGCTCAGGTTGATCCCGCCCCTGCCCCCACCTCCGACGTAAGCGTGACGTAAGCGGTTCTTGCTTCTAGACCGACAATTTGTTCGAGCTTGGTAAGAACCGGTTTTCGGGGGAAAAGAGCCGATTCCGCTGCTGCTGTGTGAACAGGACATGAGCTTATTAGGCTCTAGCTCCGAACCGGCCCTGGAACCGCGTTGATGTGAAAGGGGCATTAGAGCTGTGTTGGAAATGTCCTGCCCTTAGTGTAGAGTGTTATATAGTGCTGTCACTATGTTACTGAAGTAAACAAAAGGAGACCAATGGAGAGTGTGGGAGAGAAACTCCCTCTGGAGGAACACAGGGATTTTAGCCTTTGCTGACCATTTACGCACTCATGCACCAAAAACACACTACAGGAAAGGAAAACCTCAAAAAGTACAATAGGGCCCCTTTAATGACAAATTAATAACAATAATAAGATGGTGTGTTTGTGTGTTACCTGTAAGAACCAAAAGGCTTTGCTGTCTTCGCAGTATGCTTTTCTTTTGTCCACTCTCTGCAGGGAGGAGTGAAGGTATTTCAGGCAGGGGCTCGGACTTGGGTTCGTCGGGAGTAACAGCCAGGTCACTGAAGCCATTCTCTAGCCCGTTCTCAGGTTCCTCCATGGAAAACCTCCAGGGACGCAGACCCATTGGCTGCCCATTTTGGCCCATGTGCCTGCAGGCAGGAGGACAGACTACAGAGTAAAGACAACCAAACACACCTTTTTCTACCTGAAAACATAGCACATCTGAACTAGGGATGGGTATCTATCTCTGATGTTGCACTGCCACCTGCCTGTGTGACACAGAGTCCAACCCGATTAGGAGAGGGCTCATTGCTAACCTGATGTGCGATGATAACATGTTATGTCAACTTGCGTATGAATTGCTCAAACCACATGATTGCAAACTAACATTATCCATAATAATAATGGAACGGCAAGAGGTGGAGGTGCAGGAGGCAAGGGGCTACATATCTTTATTTATGTGGATTTACATTTGTATAATCTGTGTTTGTGCCCTCTAGTGATAATGGCTTGAAAAAAAATAATAGAAAGTTGACTCACAAAAATAAACACGATCCACAAGTTCTTAAACAGTAACAAGCCATTTACCCCTTTTTCCAGTCTTAAGACCATACTTGCCAACCTTGAGACCTCAGAAATCGGGAGCATTTCCAAAACCACCGTGGGGGGGGGATCGCCGGAGCAGGGATCGCCGGAGCTGTATTAGATTAACATTAACATGCTTATTGTAGTTGTAAGGGCACTGCCTTGCGGCCTGTAGCACCATCCTTGATGGAGCATATGTGTGGGCATGAAAGGAGTGAGCAGAGGAGAGTTGTCGATTCTTGTTCAGTTTTCTGTGACTATCTTCCGCACCCTCTCAGACTTTCAGTTGCGTGCGCTACTAAAGAGACGCGCTACCATGGAAACCAAACAATGGTGTAGCTGTATTAAAGTCCGAGTGGAAACAGTCCTGAGTAAATCTGATTTTGTCAGAAATCGGGAGAAATGCGGGAGAAATATGACCCCGGGAGGAAACCGGGAGAGGGCAATGAAATCGGGAGTCTCCCGGGAAAATCGGGAGGGTTGGCAAGTATGCTTAAGACTAATCTTAAAACTGCATACACGTGTTACGTGATAAAACAACTTTGTGCTAGCGTTGCGTTTCTATGGAGAAAGCGCTGCCCCCGACTAGGCCGTAGCACTATACATGGCATCGCACATCTTTGAAATTGAAGCCGAGCACTGCGCTTAAAAAAGGTTAAATTATCTCAACTTTAACCTTGTTTACCGCTGACCTTCAAACGCGCAACCAATCAGATGACAGCTGTATTTAACGACGCAAGCTAGCAGGGATTTTTAAAAAAAATGTTTACCTTAGTCATTTACAAACCTTTAAAAGGTAGGGTAGGTAATTCACTTCAGAAAACACTTTTTGTTATATTCCATGGAATGCTCTTAACATCCCGATAGCAATGAATACATTAAATGCTTTGACAATAAATACATAAATTAATCTGTGGAAGCCGTAGCGTTGTAAAAAGCACGACCAATCATCTGAGCCGGCCCGGCTAAAGTAACTGGACGGCCTACCTGCCTGTCAGCCTTCCATCTGTGCACAAACTTATCTCGTGCCCTCATTGGTCATGTGCGCGTGCGTGTGTGTTGGAGGAGGGGCTCTGTGAGGAAGTCTGAAGGAAGGGGCAGATTGTTTTCGTCTGCGTACTTTCAAATTCTAGCGCACTCGAGCTGGTTTCTCCATTCTTACCTACCCTACCTTTAAGGCATTTCATTTCAGTCAATAACATTGAAGGTGCAAATGCAGTATAGATAAAATAGTAGTTTACATCTTACAAATTAAAAATATAAACAAATGAGAGAAAAGTCTCTGGGCGGTTCTTTTTTTTATGTAATGAAGTCATTTTGCTAAAATGTTAAGTTAGCTGACAGGGGAGATAAACATAGAACAAAAAGACTTTTGGTCAGTCAGGTTAGTTTATTTTAAAGTAAATTGTGTTTGAAAGACAAATATACGCTGTTACCCCGACCCAATGAAGTTATTTTCATTGCTAACCTCCATGACAACATGTAAAATAGGTATCAAACCCCATTCACCCAGACAAACAATGGATGGTTAAAGAAAATAAGATAAAAGTATTGTGCCTTTCAGTGTCATGTTTTGTGCTTTTTTTGCAGACCTGCCCTTTCCAGAAGCCTTTGAGGTTTTATTTGAGCAGATGCTTCAGTAAGAAAGAGATGTTTTTACCGTATGAGGATCATCTCATCTCTTATTTTCTTGTCACACAGCCCTTTGTGTTACCCACCCTTTTCAAATACGAACTAACAATGCAGATTTCAAATTCCACTTCCTATCTCTACTTGCATTAATGACAAAAGCTTCTGCTATATAAAGAAATGAGAAGAGTCAAAGGCACCTTCTTCAAACTATAAAATAACAGTAATAACAGATTGGAACAGCCAAAGTGTTGATTCCAAAGGTGCTGTAAGATGTCTACTATCATTGGCCAAGCAATGAGAATGGAATATTCCATGGTATAACAGTATGACGCTGGCAGGGAATAAGATATGAGACCACAAAGATGGGTTGACTATCTGGATTCTGAATACAGGTAGAGCTTCAATTAAATGCTTTCAATCACTGATGTGATGTTGTATGATTATGCATCATTTTTGCTTCAGTCAGACGCCCCTCCCCCGACCCATTACCCCCTGCTGCACCCCCCATTTGTTTCCACTGCCTGGAAATGGCCCTGTCACCTCTCCCACTTCTAATCAGCCCCAACCATCAGCTACACACCAGCTCCTGTTTCTCCTCCCCCCACAACCCCCCCACCACCCGCTGACAACACCTTGTCCCTCACAACCAACCAGGTGAGGAGGGAGCTGCAGAGGTGTAAGGCAGCGGGTCCAGATCGCATCAGCTCGAGGCTCCTCAAATCCTGCACAGACCAGCTGTGTGGGATTGTGGAGTTCCTCTTCAACCTTAGCCTGAAGCAAGGGAGGGTACCTCAACTGGAAGACGTCCTGTGTGGTACCTGTGCCAAAGACCCCTCACCCCAAGGAATTCAACAGCTACCCTGGAGAGGCTGGTCCTTGGACACTTTCAGATGCCGTCATCTACCTGCTGCAGAGGTCCCTCTCCCACCTGGAGAAGGCTGGGGGCTCTGTGAGGATCATGTTATTTGATTTCTCCAGTGCCTTCAACACCAGCCAGCCCCCGCTCCTGGGGGACAAGCTGCAGCTCTCGGGGGTGGATCACCACCTCACCAACCGCCCAAATTACGTGAGGACCCGGGAGTGTCAATCAGAGACCATCATCAGCAGTACGGGGGCCCCCCAGGGGACGGTGCTGGCACCGTTTCTCTTCACCCTCTACACTGCAGACTTCACCCACAACACTGCAACCTGTCACCTGCAGAAGTTCTCTGACGACTCCGCCATCGTTGGCCTCATCTCCAACGAGGACGACAGGGAGTACAGGGAGATGACGCAGGACTTCACCCTCTGGTGCCAGAAGAACCACCTCCAGCTCAACGCAGCGAAGACCAAGGAGCTGGTGGTGGATTGCAGACGGCGCCAACACCCCCCCTCCGACACCAGTGAACATCCAGGGAGTGGACATAGAGATTGTGAACTCTTACAAATACCTGGGTGTTCATCTGAACAATAAGCTGGACTGGACTGACAATTCTGCTGCTCTGTACAAGAAGGGACAGAGCAGACTCTTTCTGCTGAGGAGACTGAGGTCTTCCGGGGGGCAAGGGGCACTCCTTCAGACTTTTACGACTCTGTGGTGGCATCAGCCATTTTCTATGGTGTGGCCTGCTGGGGCAGCAGCATCTCGGCTGCTGACAGGAAGAGACTGAACAGACTGGTAAGGAAGGCCAGCTCTGTCCTGGGGAGTCCTCTGGACACTGTGGAGGTGGTGGGAGACAGGAGAATGGCAGCCAAGCTGTCCTCCCTGCTGGACAATGTGTCCCACCCCTCCAGGAAACCCTGTCCTCACTTACCTCATTCACACCAACGCAACTCCGGTTCAAGCTCCGTGCTAGAGCTTTTCAGGTTCAGAACCGGTTCTTTGGTTTAGCTCCGGCTCTTTTCACACCGCCCGGAGTCCGACTGGTGCTGCGTCATTGCGTCATCGTTTGCGTCATGACGTAACCGTTTGCGTGCCTGCTTCATAAAGCCAAACTGCGCCGAAACCCCTCACAGCTCACACCGCAACACGTTCTCACTACCAACCCGTCACATGTTGACGGACGGTCAGGGCCCCTCCCCGTCACTCTATTACGGTACCTACCCCTTGGAAGTCAGATTTCAACGGGCAGGGCATCCCATAGACCTTCATAGACCTCCCATTGCGTTGATAATAGACGCCATGAGAACGCTCCCCGACGGTCGGTTATTATTGTCAATATTAATATAATAATTATTTATTTTTTAATAGTCACACTCGATTTCGCCGATTTTCTTGTTGCCCCAGCTGGTTGACACCTCTTTTAGCAGAAACAAAGGCTACATTAATGTATTAAATCGATGTTAATCCATGTGTGTGGTTGTGGAATTAATGGACGTGCCGTTGTCCGTTACAAACTCTTCAACTACAACCCTAATTATATTTTAAAACATTTTAGAAGGCCTCACGAAATACTTTAATGTAAATTAAAATGTAAATGTGAAGGGATGTGTGTAATGTGGTGATTGACATTATTCACCTACGGATCTATGGACAGCCGGAGTGAAACGCAGCGTGTGGAGGCTTCCTCGCAGCCCTTTCGCCTCACGGGCAGCGGCGGCGATGGCGTGGCTCGTCACCATGATGACCATTACGGCACATCACAGAGAAGCCTCTCCCCCCAGCAGTTCCATGGGATACAAGAAACATTCCTGTCATCCCAGGAACAGTGTCTTGCGCGGTTTTTACCCCCGCTATTTTTCTAAATCTCGGAAAAGAACGGGGGAGTCGCCCCGTTGCTGTACAATCAAACATGTGTTGATTTGCACAGACAACAGGCCACGGCTATGGAAGCAGCCTACCTCAATCGCCAGGGAGGAGTACGATCTGCGCAGCTTCTGAACGCAGCCAGGCGGCTGCTGTTCTGGGCGCGCACACACGTTGCTCTCATCAGAGCAATGTATATTCCCGGTG